ATAAACACTAGGGGATAATAAAGTTCGGGGTTCAGGGAGAGATAATAAAAGTAGCCCAGCAGACCTCAGCAGAATCTCGAAGTAAGAGATGATCAAGAGGAGACCAAGCCGAGCACGTTTTGAGACATCCTTGGCGTTTAGTTGTCATAGAAATATCCTCAACAATGGCTTATCTCTCATGAAAATTGTTGTTTGTAAGTGCTCGTGTAGGGTAGTTCATGTGCCTCAATTTCCATGGATAATCAACCCCAGAGATAAATAAGTTCAGGCGAGCGTGGGGACAGGGAGAAATATAAAAGAAGAAGAATACAGTAGAAGAATTATAAGAAAGAAGAAGAAGAGGATAATAAGAAGAGGACGAAGAAAGGAAAAATCCAAAGTTCCAAATCTATCAATTTTAATTTACAAACGCTTTATGAAAATTGATGTTTTTAAGTGCTCGTGTAGGGTAGCTCATGTGCTTCATTTTCCATGGATAATCAACCCCAGGGATAAAAAAGTTCAGGCGAGCGTGAGGACAGATAGAAATATAAAAGAAGAAGAGGAAAGTAGAAGAATAATAAGAACATTGCTCGTTTCGTTTGAGTCTGCCTCCCAAAATTATTGGTTTCGCTTGACACATCCTGAAAAAGTGTGATCGCTTCGCTTGATGTTGCTATATCAACATCGCTTGATGTTGCTATCTCAACATAGCGTTTCGAGGTGATAATGAAGTTCGGCCTCAGCGCTCGCCGCCCAATTTGAATTTTGTATAGGGCGACGATAATCAACTCTAAACACTGAAGGGGGGGGGGGTCCCTTTATTATCATCGGCATGCGGTTACTCAGGATACGGAGAAAAACAAAGCCCTGACAAAACCAGTGCGCATGTGGGGATCCGGACGTGGTTAGGGAATCTCCCCGGGGCGCAATCCCAAACCGAACCTGGGTAACCTTGTTCCCGCTGGCCGGGGAACAAAAAACATTTTCGTACGACGCGAAACCCCGCCCTTCAGGCGCGAATTTTCACCACGCCGGAAACGGGAGGGAAGCCGCCCTCCGCCCCTCGAGCCTTGGCATGAGAGACGTGGGCTCTGGTGGAAACCGTCCTGGACCGCGGAGCTTTCCCGGAGACAAGTGCTTCATCCCGAGCCGTGTTTGGACGGTCCTGGGGCCTGACGCAGGCCCCATGGAGCCCGCAAGCGGCGAAAAACTGCAGGGCCTTCGTCCTCCAAGGACATCCGATGCACCGTCAATCCTTTCCCCATCCCCGCTAAGAGCGCCCGGTCCCGCTGGCCGACCTGCCCCACCTCTCCCTCGGGCTTCGCGGCACCTACCCCCGACCTGCAGGTTGGCTGGCCCAATGGGGAGGGAGGCAGAAACGATAATGCTGTCATTCATGTCGGGCCATCATCGCCTTGGTGAGGGCGCCGCCCAGCCAGGGAACCTGGCGTGATAGCGGCCTGGCGACAACAATTCATGAACAACCCGACGAGCTGGGACCAGTGCGGGCCCCAGACAAGGTCCGGGCCAAGGGCGCCAAAGAAAAATAATCGCGAGTGGCATCCTTGCGGCAAGCCACATGAGGTAGCATTGCGCCATCAGGCATTCTGAAAGGATCGGGAGCTGCGTCGCCTGCACAACCCGATCGCCCGCAGCAGCCCGCCATTGCGGCAGGTACGCGAGAGCGAGCACAACCACTGCACTGTAAAAGGTCTGTGCCAATATACGTGTCATGCACGTGCATATCCACCACTGCTGCGGTATCGATCGAAGTGGCCGGATTGCACACTGCCACACATACTTGTTGAAGAACCGAACTGCCAGGACCAAGCCCCGACGGGGGGAGATCCAGGTAGCGTAGCCAGGCGGCCTGGGTCACCGCCATATAGGCGAGGCCCTGGTCACTGAACTCCAGGGGGCCCTGGTCTCTCAAAATCAAAAGCGAATCGCTGACGATCTCATCGATGAGGTCGACCACCCAATGAGAACGGGCGAGCTGGTCAGGGGGCCTGCCGCCAGCATATGGACAAAGGATGTCCGTGCGCGTCCTGCTCAGGGCTGTACCGCTGGACGATGCCATTTCCAAGTGGTGCCGCCTCTGGCGCTCGCACCGGGCCAGCAGGCGGCCGCCTCTGGCGGAGAGCAGCGGCGCAGACATCAGTGGTGCTGCTGGGCCCACGCTGGTGCTGCTCGGCGCACGCCGCCAGGAATGGGCACATCAAGTCCCAGGCCTCGTCCAGGCCATCATCCCACGCGGGCGCTGCTGCAGCTGGGCCGACACCGTCTGGGACAGCAGCAGCCAGGCCGTCGAACGTAGGCGAAGGCGCGGCAGCCGTGGCCAACCTCTGAGGCCGGCACAGCACGCGCAGGCACGGGCTCGACCGTGCGGCGGAGGCGCCCGAGTCCATGGCAATCACCCTGCAGAGTTGCAGCTTGCGGGCCTCCTCACGAGAAAGCTGGCGCAGGCCACTGAGGAGGGCCCTGCCGGTCTCATGAGAAACAACATCTTGCCATTGAAGACGATCTGGGAGATCCCGAGCGTCGTCACCACAATCATAATCATTATCAGAAGCGATGCAAAAAGATACGGGTCCGTTGCCATGGATGGCATGCATGAGCGAGTTCCAAACCACAGCGAGGGCGGCGGTGAACCCATCGATGATGGAGCCGATGAGGGAACACACGAACAGTTGATAGCGTGAGGGAGCACACGAACAATTGATAGCGACACGCCGACTCCAACAAAAGATCCTCTTACCCGTGGCGGGAAGAATCTGCAGATATAAACATCACATCGGGCAAATCAAGGACACATGGGCGGATTGCCCTCCAAACCCAATCCTGCTCAACCCAGACAACTCCCGGGGTCCATCCGGACCAGTTGTTCGAAGCAGTGGCGACCAGAAGCCTCCAGGGAACTAACAGGACGATCAGATGGAGCAGCAACAGCAGCAGCAGCAGCAGCCGGCCCACCCATGCAAGAAGGGACTGCAGTGGCAGCTCAGGACGACAAAGGCGGCAATGGCGGCAAGGGCGAGAAAGGCGGCATGGGCACCGTGAGAGAAGGGAAGGCAGTGGCAGCTCAGGCAGCCGTAGCCCAGGCAACGCGTGAGAAGCGACCTCGTCAGCTACAACCTCGAGCAATACTAACAAAACTTGCTCAGGGTCCTGTTCCAAGAGCGAACCCGCTGACTTCAGACACAAGACCGAGCCCGACGACACCAGCGCTACGAGAGATGCATCGAGAAGCACAAGCCTCACGCCATCAAGTACGAAGGATGCGCAGGACAAAATGAACCAGACACCATTAGCTGCGAAAGTGGGGACACGGACCGTACGCCACCTCCTAATCGCGATGTCCAGGTGGTGTAAAACATGGCGAACAAAGTATTCACATAAGGACGGCCCGATGTCGCATCTGGTGCACTCCAGAGGATCTACACGGCCGCTCCACATGCCGTGCGGCACCCAGGCATCAAGCGCCTGCGCGAAAGCATCGCTATCTGCCTCGTGGACGGGCAGTGAGTACAAGCACCTGATGGAGGAACGGTGGCAGATACAAGAAAAAAGTATGTGGTGGAGTCGCGAAAAGGAGGCGAAGGAGGAGCAGGGGATGGCTTAGAGCGATGCAGAGGGCGAAGAGAACGCGAGCCGAGAATGCAGGGCGGCAGCTGACTATACCGCGCAACTGCCCTTACACGACAACCACAACCTCAATCAACGATTCGGCACGCCGCCGGCCAGGCGAAGGGCGGGCGGAGAGTGCGAGAAGTGGAGAAGTGCCAGCAGTGGCAGCGAACAAAGAAGTCATCAGCTATATACAGTCTCGACGGGGTGTGCGCGCCAAGAGAAGACAGCGACAAAATATGCAGACGCGAGGCGACGCGGGTGCAAAGGACCTGCAGTGGCAGCGGGCAGTGGGGCGACCAGCAATGCAGAAACTTCGTGAGCTACAGGCCCTGCGCGCAGCATGCGAGACGGATGTTGAAGGTGGCATCCAGAAGGGCGCAAATAACTAGGTCTACGTGTGGAGCCCCGCCTACGACGTCGACTGGCGCGATCTGCAGGACCACATGAAGCAAACGGGCGATGTGGAATTTTGCCGAGTGCCCACAAGAGGACGGGACCGTCTACGGCAAGTCTTTGGGGTACGGCCAAGTGCGCTTCTCCACAAACGTGGACACCAAGAAGGACACACTCGCCCTGGGCGAGGCGGAGCTTCAGAGCCGGAGGACTCGCGCTCGGATATGGTCAGGCGCCAAAGGAAATCATCTACCACCTGCGCAGTGGAACGGCGGTGGTGCGGTGTGGAGACAAGAGTCGGGGATGGACAGACCTCCCTTTAGTAAAACGTGGTTTAGTGAAAACGACCTGAGGCCCAAACCTGGCGGGCGCAAGCCTGGAAAATAACGGCCGCGGCGCCCTCTCGAGAACCGAAAACGGACAATTCACTAATCAACGTGTCACTGTTGGGGGTTCTGTCCGCCCCCGAAAGAGCCGGAATGGCTACCAACTGCGATCTGGGGACTGATGCAGCCGACCAGCGCGTGCGAAACTTCCCAGCAGAGCAGCGGGAGGCGAAGAGCGGGACGCGCTGCTGCTATGACCGAGGGTCTCGGGCGCCCGAGCGCGGAGCGGCCTTGCGGGGGGCTCGCGAAGTCGCGCTGCGGCAGAGGGAGGAGGAGGAGGAGGAGGAGGAGGAGAAGGAGGAGGAGGAGGAGGAGGAGGAGGAGAGGAGGATGAGGAGGAGGAGGAGGAGGAGGAGGAGAAAAAAAACGACGACGAGCCCTGAGGAGTATAAACGAATGAAGGGACGGACGAGGGCGGAGGCCAGAGGAGACTGGAACAGAAGGAGGAGGAGGAGGAGGAGGAGGAGGAGAAGGAGGAGGAGGAAGAGGAGGGAGGCTTGGAGGGAAGAGCTGCGGCAGCCAGCGTCCCGTCGTGTGTGTGTGTGTGTGTGTGTGTGGGGGGGGGGGGGGGGGGGGGGCGGCCGCGGCCAAAGACCGGACGGTCAGGGCCGCTCCTCCTCGAGCGACCACCACTGGTTGTCGTCCACCGCAGGCACGACAGGCAGCTGGCCTCTCACACGTGGACGAACGCGGCTCGAGAGCTGATCGAAGAGCTGGCAAGCAAAAAAGGCGGATGACGAGGGGGAGCGACCGGAAAAGGAGAGGAATCAAAACGGTCGGGGGGCGGCGAAGGAAGAGTGAGGCGGGGATTAAACTGAAGGGGCGGGAAGGGAGAACGGAGAAAAGAGGAACAAATGATGAAGGATGCGGGCGTGGGGATACATAACAAAGACAAGGAGAAATTGGCAATTATGAGTCGGCGGAAATCGACACGAATCCTGTCCAGCAGCTGGCAACGGGAAGCCCTGCGGCGACCAGAAACGTATAGGCCCGCGACAAAATACCGCGCGGCTGGATTCAAAACGCTCGCGAAGCGTCGCGACGCATCAGCATGCGTGCAGACGTCGAGACACCCAGCGCAGTGGGCTCGGATAGCCCCGCTTTGGGCCCCAGCGCTGCAGTGGGCAACTAGTTGGAACGTTATGCGCGCGTTGACATATGCAGGCAAAACAATGTGATCGAAATGAAAAACCATGGAAATTCAAACCAATGCAAGTTCAACGTGGATTCAATACGACCTTCTGGGCAGGCGCAAGCGGCAGCGGTGCGAGCACGTGACTCCCGCGCATCAGCTGGTAGAGCGCACTACTTCCGGGGACGCAGGCGGCGCGGGCTCAGGCGAGAGGGGGCACAGTATTCTTTCAGACTGTGAAAGTACAGCTGGAAGCGGAGGGGAGGAGCAGGGCGGCCCCCCGCGAAAACCTTCGAGCCAGGTCGCCGCCACAGGGTCACCAAGCCCTGTGCCTCGGCGCCCTCGGATCCTCTGCGAATCAGTGTTTTGCCAGCTCTCCGTCGGGAAGGGAGCTTTCGCTGCCCGATTAGACGGCAAAGCGTGTAACGCGCTCATCATAGCGGTCTTCTTGACGTAGTAAGATCCAAGCGATGCAGGGGCAAACGTACTCCTTCCTGCCATGGCTCAGCATGGTGTAGCGCCGTTAAACCATGGCTAAGAACACGCTGCTCGTGGGAGGGCCGGCCGGCCAGGGGGCGCGCGCGGCGGGCGGCCCGAACCACATTTCGGCGATCAAAATCAGAACAGCTTCGATAAGTCATCGATGTCCGGCGGCAGCGGGACAGCGAGGCTGAGGCAGCGCACGGGCGTGACTACATCAACACCCCCCGCGGCCTCCCCTGCGAGTTCCACTCGCACGGGCGGGCGTCGACGTTTTGTCAGCGCCCCCAATTTGATTATACAGCGGAGCGTCGCGCCGCGCCCGGCAGGCAGCTCGCCCGCTACCTGGCTCGCAGCTCTGAGGCGCTCAGTGCAGTGCACGGTTGCGTCGAAGGGGCGCCCGCAGCATAGCTGCGAGTGCCCCTCGTTCGTTCTTCCCCGCTCAACCCCGACTGTGACCTTCGCGGCCTCAGCTGCTGTAGCCTGGCAAGTCGCCTGAGCTCCAGCCCCAAGACGACCGCCATTTGTCGGCGCACTCTCGCGACGGGGAAATGGAATCCGTGTTCTCGCGCCCCGGCGGGGTAGGGTCCTTGCTCTCCCGCGACGCGTCGGCCGTTGCGCGCCATGGCGGGGCGATCGATGCCCGCGCGCGGCCGGAAATCTCCCGCGGCCGGCGGCCCCGGCGCCTTGGTTGAGATCGGAGAGGCGACTCCCGAGCGCGAGCACGAGTCCCTCTGGGTCGGGTTGTCAACCCGGCGACGCCTTGATTCCCGTGGATCATCTGGTGGGCGACTGCTTCGCCTCTTAGCTCCCTTACAGTCGCTCTCGGCCTCTCTGCCCTTGCCCTTGCCCCTCGCGTCGCCCGACGTTCTGCTGCCGTAGGGCGGCCCTCAAGCTGCGCACAATTGGGCCACTTCTCTCCTCTGGCAGACTGCGCTCTAGGAGAGGCACCCACCTGGGCATAGCCAAGCGGTGCCAGAGCCCTCGCTTCCCGCGATGTCGGCCGTGGAGCTCCCAGAAAGCCCACTGGCGGCATGGGCTCCTCTCTATTCCCCGTTCCATGGCAGCTATCAATTGACTGATCGGCGGGACTTCAGCGCTCCGCCTGGGCTCTCTGCATCACGCGGACCAATCCATTCTGGGCTCTTCGCGATAGCGGCCCCCTGGGAAGCGCAGTCCCAGTCGAACGGCTCGAGAATGACATGGCCATCCCCTTCCAGAAACCCCCCTCCGATACGCGGCCACCACATCCACGGAAGAAAAACTGCGTCGCTGCCAGTAGCAAGCGTCTTGGGATGTGCGTTCTGAAACTTGGTCCACATGTGACCCAGCTTCTTGGCCTTCTCCTGCTCGTCGGGGCTCTGCTCCAGCAGCTCGTCGTCTGGGGACATCGATTGTCCGGCAAGTACCTTCATGATGTTGCTGTGCAGCACGCCCTTGCCTTGCAATCCATTCTCTCTGCCAGCGCCGATGCCATCTTCGCCGATGCCTTTCCATCTGTTCTGCGCTCGTGCCCGCGCCCGGCCTGCATCTTAGCCCTTCCATTTCCGCCCTGCACTCTGCGCCGCAGAGCTGGAGGAATACCCCCGCTGACCCTCTCGCTTGGCCAGGCCGATATCTCGGAGATCGATCTCAGGCCAAACCATGTCAGGGTCAGCGACAATGGCGCCGCAATGCCCCCAACGGATTGCGGCAATCGTTGCTGCGCAGGAGGTAGCCACCGTCCCAGCACTGCTGCGCGCAGAGCGCGTTCTTCCTCGCAGTGGAAGCGAGCATAGCAGCGTCATCCACACCAAATACCCGAACGATGACCTGATGCAATTTGATCCAGCATATACGCGCCGTGCCGAAATCACGGAAGACTCTGAGCGCAGTGCACATTCGGCCAAAGACCAGGGCCCTCGAGATCTGGATCCGCTGCATCCCGCGCACGGCACGACGCAGGATCCGATGAATGTCGAACCACTTGGGCCGGAACGCAGTCACCAAGGAGCCGCCGCGTTGAATCCAGATGTCCTGACCCTCGCAGATGCGGGGCCCGAAGGTAATCACATGGGACTCCGAGAGAGGGCGTGGATTCCACATCGAAAACACTGGTATCCAAGGCTTGGCCAACTACTACGCGCGACCAGCCTCCAGGTCTAAGTCGCGTCGGCAGCTGTCCATGCATTTCACCTCGTTGACCGCTCCGTGCTCTCCGTGGCAGCTGAGCTGCCCCACCCGAACCTGGCCCTTGTTCTCTGACAGTTACGCCTTCAAGGGTAGGGCGCGGAATGATCGCGACCACCTCCGCGAGAGCCTCATCGAAGGCTGGCAACGCTGCCGAGCGGCCGCGCTCGGAATCCCGATCCAGCGCAGAAATCTGCGGGAGCAGCGCATAATGATACTCCCATCCTCGGGGCAAGACAGTAGCGCTCTGCCATGGGCCCCCCTGGGCCGGCGCGGCCGGCGCCGGCGACGCAGTCGCCGGCCGGCGGCCGGCCAGGCAAAGGTTTTGTGCCTGCCCCAAAAGCCCTTCCCGAATGGGCAGGTCTGTCCGGCCAGGTGCCTCCAGCATTGTCGCTTCTCCTTGACTCTCGCCGCTGGCCTTCGACTCGACTGATCGTTGCTTTGCCCAGGTGCAGCGTTATTCTCGACGTTCTGCGACGCTGCAGACATCTGCTACTGGCCGCGAATGTTAGGGGCAGTCCTGCCGATCATGCCCTCGCGTGATTCGTGCTTGCCACGGGGGAGCCCCTCCCCCATTCATGACCTGTCTGTGCTCGCGAGGACACTGGTCAGACGACGACGGGCGAGAACTGCGACTGCGTGCGTAGCATAGCCCGTTCATCTCGGAGTTGACGCTGGAAGCGCGGCTTCGCGATCGACCCCGGCCTTGGCCCCCGCCCTTGAATCGGTCAGCGGGGCGCCCCTCGCTCCTGCCGTGCTCTGTGCCATTCCCCTTTCCGCCTCCTTTCTCTTTGTCCCTCTTCTTCTTTCTGCTGCCCTCGCCGCCGCCCATGCTGGCCTGGGCCGGCGCGGCTGGTCCGGGGGCAGCCGGGCAGCCGCTTTCTTTGGGCGCAAATATAGACGCTGAGCTCGGGAGCATGGACGCCAGCCCTGGAGGATCTCGCGGCAGGGGGCCGACTTCTCGAGGCGGCTGCCCTTCGCGCAGACAGATGTTCTGCCCGCCCTCGCCGGCGCCTTCGCCCCCCCCGCAACTGCTCGCGCCTCCCGCGGGGAGGCCGCGGGCATTCAGCGTTCTCCGCTGTTTCTCGCGGTTGATCTGCCCGCGCCCCTTGCGCGTGAAATCGCTGACTTTCGATAGCGACCACTCGTGAGTCGTCATTCCTGTGCCGTGCTCTTCGCTGCAATGATCGCATGTAACCATCGCGCAGTGCATGCAAGGGCACTTCTGCATCCGTCGGTAGTAATGTTCCTGTATTGCGGGGCGGAAGGAGTCATTCAATTCCTCCATCTCGTTGAGCGCCCCCACCCACTCGCCATGGAGGTGGATTAGGTCGCCATCTGCTTCCTTGCCCGCGCCGCGAATTCAATCCCCATAATAAGGTCCACGCGCGAGCGCTCGGCCGCGGCCCTGACGGGCGGTCGCGCGGGCGTCAATGACGCGCTGGATCTCGCGACCCTTCATTATGTACCTGGCGGCTTGCGTGGAGATGTCGAACCGTTCTATCCCGCTCGCAAGGTGGCAGAGCTGAGACGTGGATTGTCAATCCCTGACTATCTTGTTGACCTCGGCCATGAGGTCCGCTGCAATCACTGGGTCAAGCCAGGCAAAGTGACCAGAGTGAATCAACACGTCGGCCTCGACTTTCTATATGTCGAACGCGCCCGTTATCCGCCCGACTGCCGCGCAGTTTGGCGACGCTGACGCCGCAGTCCTTACCGCGTTGTGCTGCAATCGTTTGTAGCTGTCGGCGCCGGGGGTCGCTTTCGAGACTATATCACTTGTCTTACCTACATCATCCCAGTGCTTCGCGGAAGCAGGAACCGCGCCCATCGGGGGAATGGGGGCTTCGGCGTCTCCGCCGCCGCCGGGCGGGCCGCCATCTGGCGGT